GTTGTAAATCTTGACTGGTTTGCATGAAAACAATTTGTACATGAATATTTGATAGCTGTGGTAAGACCAAAAGTCCAGTGAGAACAAGGATACAAACAACATGATTGAGAAAGTGTCAAGAACCTTTTTCTGTGCATGGATGAACTTACACAGTTACAGTGCAGGAGGATACAGCTTAAATATATTTCCACTAGGAGGGCATCTATCTCATAGGTATGCTTTCTCTAAATTGGTATTAGTATCTCATTTGTCATTTGACAGCTGCCTCCAGCCTTTAGTCTTTCTTTTGGAAAACCTGAAGAATATAGAACATTTTAAAAGTCCTTTATTTATGCTTTGTCAAAAGTTTGAGCTGCAAAGTTTTTTAAGACCAATGCTTACTGCTTATTCTTGTCTTTTCTCAATTCTACCAGTTTTAAGAAAGTAAAAGTTTCCCTTTTCTGAAAAGCCAGACAAGGGCCTAGCATTTTGTAATGTTAATAGTGCCTCTGCTAACCTTTTCAAAGGATCACTTGTCTAAGTTTTTGTGTCTAATAGGTGTAATCCCAATATCTGTTTCTTGTGATAGTTCAGACCTAACATCAGGAAGATGTTAGAGCCTAATATCTAATCTTAGGTAGACAGAGGATCCTAACCCCAGCTTTGAATCCTGCTAGGGCTTGAAGATTTCTTAATATGGAGACTGTGCCTTTACTACATTAGCCTTCACTAAAGCAAGAGTTGCTACAATCCAGAAATTTGTGTTATCTGTAAGCACCCCTAGTAACATTTCCCATTGTTGTAAAGTTTATGAGAACATTATTGCCTAGATTCTCCACACTGCTTGCTCTGTGAAAAAAATTAATTCTAATCTTCAGTTTGCAGATGAACTCTTAAAAGATGAGCCTTGGCATAAATCAGAAGGGGATACCAGAAACACAAACACTGTGTGAGGGGGAAAAAAAAAAAAAAGGTCTGAAGAAGATGATCACAGCTGCCAAAACCACTGTAACACAAAACATCAGAGAGAAGAAAGACACCCCTTTCAAGAAAATATTTCTGAAACACGTAGTAGCATACATCTCTTTGGGTCAAAGTGGCTTCTCACTTGGGTGAGTACTCATTTGTAGTGATGAACATGGCTCATGGCTAAAATTAATAAGGGAAGGTCAGGTTTTCTACCTCAGAATATGTGTAATACTCTTCTACTGTTAGAAATACTCTTTCATTTTAGCCATTGTGTGCTTACACAAAATCATCATACTTTTTGAGAGGCAAATTTTTCAGGTAAGTTTAATATGCGTGACAGTATTGCATGATCAAGGCCACCCTGGAACAAACTTCTTCCAAGACACTGGCTGGCAGTTATTACTAATTACAGAATCAAAAAGAGAGTGGAGTAGATTGCAGCCTTGAGTTGCCAAAATTAACTGTAAAACATATACTGGATAAATTAAGGGCCTCCTGTTGTACCACTGTGGTAGGTTTGACCTTGGCTTGCTGCCAGATGCCTACCCAGCTGCTCTCTTACTCTGCCACTTCAATAGGACAGGGAGAGAAAATAAGATGGAAAAGCTCGTGGGCTGGGATGAAAACAGGGAGGTTGCTTACCAGTTACTATTATGGTCAAAACGGACTCAGCTTGGGAAAGATGACTTTAATTTACTGCCAGTTAAGAACAGAGTAGAATGGTGAGAAACAAAACCAAAATTAAACCTACCTTGCCTCTAGCCCCTCTGGCTTCCTCCCAGGCTCGTTCAGTCCTTCATTTCTGACTCTTCTATGTTCTCCCCCCTGAGTGGTGCAGGGGAAGGAGGAGTGGGGGGTTGTGGTCAGTTCATAACAGCTTCTCTCTGCCACTCCTTCCTCCGCACACTGTTCCCCTGCTCTAGCATGAGTTCCTCCACAGGATAGAGTCCTTCACAAATTGCTCCACCATGGGTCCCCTCCTGGGCTGCAGCTTCTGCTAGGAACATGCTCCTGCATGGGCTCTCCACTGGCTGGAGCTTCCTTGAGGGCACCTCACCTTCTGTGGCATGGGGTCTTCCACGGGCTGCAAGTGGGTATCTGCTCCACTGTGGTCATCTGTGGGATGCAGGGGCACAGCCTGCCTCACCATGGTCTTCCCCACGGGCTGCAGGGGAATCTCTGCTCCAGCATCTGGAGCACTTGCTCTGTCTCCTTCTCCACTGACCTTGGTGTCTGCAGGGCTGTTTCTCCGACGTTTTTCTTGCTCCTCTTTCACAGCTGCTGGGCAGTGTTTTTTACTCTTTCTAAAGATGCTATCACAGAGGTGCCACCACTGTCACTGATGGGCTCAGCTTTGGCCAGCAGTGGGTCCATCTTGGAGTCGTTTGGAACCAGCTGTATCCAGCATGAAGCATCTCCTGGCCTCTTCTTGCAGAGGCTTCTCCTGCAGCTCCCACCCCCCTGACCTTACCATGTAAACCCAATAGAACCGCTTAGGTTATTTTTCGTTACTCTGGTCCAGTCTAGAAGTGTGACCTGCTGATTGCACTGAAGAGGTGAGAAGCAGGCCTGGTGTTAACATGCTGGGGGAATGACTCCTCTTGCTGGTTCCTTTGGATGGAGTGATGAAAGATCAGTCTGGCGTGGCCTAGCAAAAACAGTATTTTAACCATAAGGAGAATCTATCAAGCTCTTCCTAAGACACTAGCAAATTAGACAAACTTCAACCTTTCAAATTTTTCCAAACGTTATTTATAAAAAGTATCAATTGTCTTAGGAAGTCCACCCTCTCAAAGTAAAACTAAATCAATACCAATATTCTATATATAAATTTAAAAAACCCCATACATACATATATGCAGATATATACCTATGTGTATGTATACAGCAGGAATTCTGAACTAATGTCTGAGTTGGTTTAATTTCTCTTCAGCACTTTTCAAACATTTCAAGAGTTTCAGGGCCTGGTCTCATAACTGCTTTAAGCTTTCAGTACAGGCTTCTGAAAGGACTGTGGACTGTGTTATCTGCAATTCTCTGCTCAAGCCCTTCCTTTGTTTTTCTTTCTTCTATCAACTATTTCATAGCCCAGATTTTCCATTTAAATTCATTTAATTTCTCCTTCCTCCCTTTGTTGGTCTGTAGTTATAGCTGTGTAGTGGGTTGACCTTGATTGGACACCAGGTGCCCACCAAAGATGCTCTATCACTCCCCTTCCTCAGCTGGACAGGGGAGAGACAAATACAATTAAAAGCTTGTGGGTCGAGGTAAGGACAGGGAGCGATCACTCAACAATTGCCATCATGGGCAAAACAGACTCAACTTGGGGAAAAAATTAATTTAATTTATTACAAGTCAAATCAGAGTAGGATAATGAGAAATAAAAGCAAATCTTAAAAAATACTTCCTCCCACCCCTCCCTTCTTCCTGGGTTTAAGCTCACACCCAATTTCTCTACCTCATCCCCCAAGCAGTGCAGGGGTACAGGGAATAGGGGTTGCAATCAGTCCGTCACACGTCTCTGCTATTCCTTCCTCCTCAGGGGAAGAGTTCCTCACACTGTTCCCCTGCTTCACAGGAGACACTCCTCCACCATCTTCTCCAACATGAGCCATTCCCACGGGCTGCAGTTCTCTACAAACTGTTCCAGAGTGGGTCTTTTCCACAGGGTTCAGTCGGTCAGGAACAGACTACTCCAGCGTGGGTCCCCCAGGGTCAGAGCCTCCTTTGGGCACATCCACCTGCTCTGGCGCGGGGTACCCCCGGCTGCAGGTGCCTCTCTGCTCCGCCGTGGACCTCCAAGGGCTGCAGGGGCACAGCTACCTCACCGTGGGCTGCACCGCGGGCTGCGCGGGAATCTCTGCTCTGGCACCTGGAGCACCTCCTCCCCCTCCTCCTGCACTGACTTTGGTGTCTGCAGTGTTGTTTCTCGTGTATTTTCACTCCTCTCTTTTGGCTGCTGTTACACAGCAGTTTTTCCTCCTTCTTAGTATGTTATCCCAGAGGCTCTGCCACCATCATGGGCTCAGCCCTGGCCAGTGGCGGGTCTGTCTTGGAGCCAGCTGGCACTGGCTCTGTAGGACACGGAGGAAGCTTCTGGCATCTTTGCACAGAAGTCCCCCATGTAGCCCTCCAGTACCAAAACCTTGCCACACAAACCCAGTACAAGCTGTGAAGAACAATTCCACAATAAACTGGTTTATAGTCTCTTGTGTTCATGTCTTGCTAGATAAACGTATTTTCTTTCCACTATAAATGGTTATACTCATGTGATCCTATATCACATCAGCAGCATCTTTGATATTATTATAATTTTTTTTACAATGACAGTGTTTTGCTGTCAGTTGTATTATAAACTGGTAATCTGATGCTAAATTTCCTATTTGCATTTTGCTGATGTTACAGACTTTGGGGTTGTCGATATAACATATATAGCTAATACGATTTCATGCTAGATTGTCCAGCTTGATTGCTACTTATAAACAGGAGGGAAAAAAATTTCAGTATCAACACTTTTTTTTTCCAGAATTTCCAAACAAATTTATGCCAGTTTAGGACCATGAATCTAAAGTTCCTTTATATGTTATTTTTATCTACATCATTAGCCTCTTGTCTTTACTTTGTTCCTTCTTTATCATCAAGCTGTCAACATCTACTCATAATTTCTACATGTTAGTTTATGACATTTTGTCTAATTTCTGTAAAATAAGCAGTACTTCTGTTATTGCTGATTTTTTTTTCCTTTTACACTTTAACTGCACATTATCTGTTATTGTGGGTTCCTTTTTTATAGCAGGGTTGCTCTGTTAGTTGGGATCAGCTGAAAATTTTTCAGGAGGTAATTTACCAAAATTTGCTATGCTGGAAATACAATGTCCTGCTCTGTCCATCTGGGCAGTCAGTCTCTCTGTATAACAACTTCATAAAGGTATCCTATATATGATTCCTGAGAAACTGCAGAAATATGAGATCTGAACACCTTAATTTTCCAGTACTCCCATGGGAGTTCCTTTCTATTATGCCAGCTGTGAATAAATTTTATAGAATGATATTTTCCATTACTGGACTAGGTGCTCCATTCTCTAAGGAAATCATAATCTGTGTATTTCCAAATGTTGACAATTGTTGGCATTTGTAGCCTTGTTAGCACTTAAAGCTAAAGTACTTAAAGCCTTAGGCCACAAGAGTAAACTTGATAAAGCTAACATTGCAACCACAAAGCGGATGAAACCAGCAGATGCAAGCAGAATGAAGATAAGGGCCAGGAAAACAATTCCTGGGGAATGTGGTAACTTCAGAAGAAGACCAGCCCATCGACCAATAATAAATCAAGAGACCACCAATCAGAATTAAGTGATTGGACTTAGGCATCAGGTAACGGGTGGTACATGCCAGAAAATCTGTCTCTAATGGTGTGTATTAGAGCACATGGTCTGCAATGGGTGTCCGTCCTTGGAGGCACCCAGCTCAAGCTGCTCTGCATGTTGGATAAATAAACTACTTGTTTACTCAGCGGATTGGTGACTTGTCTTCTTCGAGCAGGAATGCAGAGCTGAGCCCTGTTGAGGTGGCATCTGTATAAATTCTAACATGAACTAGGTGGTGGTTGACTAATTCTTGCAACACAAGATTGTCTTTAACTTGTATATTTAGTACACATGAACCTATAATAAGAATTGTCCCCTGGTATATTTTTGTTACTGTAAGCTTAGACATCACATAATCGTATAAACTGCACATTACCATAAATTACAAGGGGTTTATTCATATTACTAGATATGACTGCCTGTTGAACAGTTCCCAGAATCTACCAGTGTACTGTAGAGTAAGAATATACTTTCATTTTTCTTAGGAATTTCATCTTTGTCTGGAGGCTTTGCAGGTGGCCTAAGTTCTTGGAAATACAGCAATTTCACCAAAAGGTTGGATACTGCTGGGATGTGTATTCTATTGCACAGTTTATACAGTCTTTCACAGTGTCCTTTTCAAACTCATCCTATTGATTTTGCAGACTTACGTTTCCAAATATGTCTTGTTTCTTTATGTTCCCAAGAGTTAGTGGTTTGGTCATGTAGTCCATTATTGTTCTGCCCTGGAAGATGAATGTGGGGTCCTAATTACAGGATAGCCAATTTACATTCTGTACTTCACTACTCCTTTTTTTTATTCTAAGTTTAAATCTGGGTTGTATTTAAACATTTTATTCATGTTTGAGTGTCTCTTGTCTGTCACAGATAGATGAACAGGAGCTTCCTTAAAACTTTAAGAATGCCTATAAAATTGAGGTCTCTTATAAGAACTTCATACCTGATATCTTTTAACAGTTTCATACTTTCTAGGCCAGAACACTTAGTACTTTTCCTTTGTACAGTCTGATACACGTATAGTTTCACTTATCAATTATTAAAGTAATCTTGAATATCCAGGAAAAGTAATTTTTCTTCTCATATTTGTTTTCAGCAGCTCCATTGAGCCTTTCTGGGGGACAAATTTCCCGCTGGATCTCTTTGAATATTTTTCCATTGGTCTTTCTTTTCCCAAGCCCAGTTTTATCATGTTGTGTTCATAGGTGGTGGCGTTTTGTGGCAGAGGTACAGAAAACCCCACCAAAAAACCCAGGAAGTATTGACCTCTCAGTGATGAGTTACAATTAGGAAGCTTGTGAGAAAGAAAAGGTTTCATTTCTTCTCAATATTGTAGTAAGTCCTGAAGAGCAACTCTATTCTCTTAGAAGTTTTTCAGTTGTTAGCAGTGAAAAATATTACAAAGAAATAATCTGCTGTGGTTTTGTGTCCTAGCTTGCTGGCACATGTCTGAAATCATCTCTGTAGCTCTGCTAGGAAGTAGGATTTTTGCCACACTGAAGGAAACTGTTTTTCCTTCAAGACCCACATATGAAGATTTGAACTGCATCCTCAAAAAGACTCCAGCCTGCACAAAGGCTTCTTGTCTCAAATATCATAATTAAATCCATATATTTGACATTTTATTTACTCTTAATAATTGATCTGTCAATTGGCTGCTCTCTGTGCCTTAGGATGGTGTTCACCCAAAGGGTTTAAACAGCACTGGGAACCAGTGGACTTAGTTTTAATTTACCAGTAATCTGAGACAGCACTTTCTTCCCCATGTTTTCTAAACTAAGGAAAATAAAGATCATAATAATGTGATGCTAAAAATGTCTGTTCAAGCAGACACCAACAAGTTGTAGTGATTATAAACTGATATAGAAAATTATTCAAGCAAATCAGTGTTCTTTCAATAATCTGAAGTGAAAAAAAGCTGCTGTGTGAGAAGACCTGTAGTCTGTTGGGGTTTTTTTAATCACCAAGCCAGAAAAGTAATGAGAAACAAACAGAGGTTATCTCAGTCTGAAAAACTGCACTCAAATAAATACAAAGAAACTTTTCTAGTAATGCAGCTTAAAGCTGTGCCTTTAAGCAAACGCAAAATGTGTTTCTATTGCAAACCAAGAAGAAAGAGTACCCAATGTATAGATTTTCTGGTATCTATAGTTTCTGAATTAAATAAAGAAGGCAGTTATTTCTTCAGTGAAGTGCTTTGAGGTTTACTGATTAAATGTTCTATGTAGATGTAGATATTGCATTGCTGCAGTCATTGACGTGACTGTCCAAACCTTTGCTTCTTGCAACCACCTTCTGTGTAGTATCTCAAGATATATTCAACACAAATTATTATCTGAGCCCAAACATGTAAATATTCACTTAAAGCTCAGTGTGAAGTCCAGTGTTGACTGGTTTGGTTTTTGGCATACTGCTGCAGCTTTCTGTACAAAGAAGTTTAATGTATTGATAGACCATTCTGGGAAACTGCCCTGGTGCTCTCATAGAAAGAACCAATCAACCATGTATCATCCATCCCATTTGTCCTCTCTCTTATACATGCATGGCAACAGCTATGTTCAAAGCAAAGTCAAAATTTAAAAAAAACTCCTCATTCCTACCACAGCATAATAGTGCATCGCACATTCTATTTGTGAAGAAGCATAAAATGAAGTGGTAGATGTTAATCATATCAGTTAATGCTGAACATACTGAGGCTCTGCTAAGGAAGAAAGAATACATTAGAGAACCTTTCATGTATCAGACATAATTCTTCAGAAATTTGTTCAGGACTATAAGTTGATTGAATAAAAATCACTATATATAACTAATGCACAGGAAATAACTTTGGAATTACTAAATAAAAAACACTTAGCTTTTTTACTAATTTAGAATTTAATATAATCCATATTTCTGGCAAACGTATGCATGAACAACTAGCCCACACAGGTAAAACTGACAAGGTTTCATTACACTGTGAAGAAATAAAGTATAGAGTGAGGCTCTCCTGTAAGCTATTATATTTTATATTGATTTTTTTTTTTAAATCTACTATTTAAACTGAGGTACTTGAAATCAGAATTTGGCTTCATGTTTAAGCAACCAATTAGATCAAGGTGCTAGAGATACTTATTGGCCAGAATTTTTGTTTTTAGACACTTGATGTGTTCTAATTTTTACTGAGAAATGGTCATAAATCCTTTGAGATCCCTCAAGTGTCCTTGGGCAAGTGAGGCTGCTGCGAATGTGCTTACAATCTGACATGTTTTAGGAATTTATCAAAAACTGTAAACAGGGAAGCTCTCTGATACAAATGTATTTAGCAGAGATACTTGTCAAGAAAGTGGAGGATAACCTTTAATTATTTGCCTACTGTAGCAATATTTTAAGGACTGAAATGTGAAGGGCTTTCAACTCCATATTGACATTGTCTTTGTTTAAATATAGTGTTGACATTCACTCAAAAACTAGACAACTGGCATAAACAAGTTGCTACCAGTTTGGCAGCATTTTTGAGTACTCAGGTAAACAATTGTCTTTTGTTAACTTCTATTTATTAATTCACTAATCCGTGCCCTTGGAACAAGTCTATAAGAAAGCTATTATAAAAGCAGATAAAGAAGTTGATTAAATTCCTACACAGAAAGGTCAGGACAGAGGTACCGATCTTCCTTGAACTTCCAGGTTCAGCCATGTGCATTTTCCATCTGGCTGCGGTGAGAGTGAATGGAGATACCAAATGTAATAATGTCATTCACACTGAAAAAAAACTTGCACAAATGAGTGTTCTTATTGAACTGGGTGAGGCCACCAACTGTGAATCTGAACCTTACATGTATACAAAATCTCAGCCCAGTATGGTGATTAATAGGGTCATGGGCTTAATGTATTACTGAAATTAAAGTAGATACAGTGATACCAACCAGCCCGTGAAGTCACATTTGTGCCTTATCTATAACCATTGTCCTCAGATTATTTGTTTGTTTGTTTCTAAATTTGAATTTTTGGAGGATTATGAGTTGCCTGTTGAGGAGTGATGTGGAGAGCAAGCTGCCAGGAATAGGGCAGTGTGGTGAACCAAAAGGTTAGAAAAAGCATAACTGCAGCTGGTGTTGGCATGTGTTATTTCACAGCTTCTTTTCAAATAGGGAAGAAGTGATTTTTAGTTGTAACTCCCAATGAGCAGAACAGTTACTGTTTTCATTTCTGTTGGATGCAGCTTCACTGGGAGAACTGAAGGCGAAGTACACAGTGCTTCTACAATGTAATTACTTTAGCAACAAACATCCCAGCTACATTATTCAGACCATACAAGCCTTGCTACACTTAGGGCAAGACAAAATGACCCAGCAGCAGCTTGGAGAGCAGCTCTGTCAGACCTCACATACGGCATGTGAGTTAGCTTCCCATATTGCTACCAGCAGTATGCCTGTGAGACAAATTGGTGATGAAAAAGGGAATAGAATAAGGCTGATATCCCAGTTACAAAAAGCTATTTAATACAAACTTCCAAGGATATTACCTTCTAGACACCATGCTTGAGCTAAAGGACATATTTGCAGCTCAGTGTTTGGTACCTCCCATGTCACCAGATGTTGAGGAATGGCTTCAAGAACAAGGACATGGCAGTATGGAAAAACTGTTTAGAGATGAAATACCGGGTGATTTGTTACGTTTGCACAAGATAGATGTTGCTTGAGTTGCTTAGCTACTATCTCCTGCCTGGAACAGAAGCTTCTCCCCCACCTTCAAGATTACTCCAAAAACCTACCCAAACCGGCTTAGCGGTTTGGCCCGGACCCAGGGCGCAACGGAGGCTGCGCAAGACTTCAGGGTGAAAAGTTCAGCAGTGAGGAAGAGGAGAAACTTCCTCTCCACGACCACCGATCAGCCCTTCACGCCCCCTGCCCAGGACATTACGAGCTAATTGCCCAGGCGCAAAAGGGAGGAAACCTAATTACAATAAGAAGCGAAGATAGGCGGAGATAGATCATAAATATGTATAGGCTGTTTATATATATGCAATGCTTAGTGGATATAAGGATGTAAGCAGACAGAATAAAGCAGAAGCTTGCTTATCATTCACATTGAATGCCTTCTTGCTTCCTCCACTCCTCACAACCAGATCCAACTCTTTGGCATATGCATCATTGCCACTTTTGCAATGGTATTAACACAATGAGTTGCATGCTGCTGAGTAAAAAGTCAAACTGGTGAGAAAGAAGAAGGAAAGTATGGTGAAGGGGTTTGAACTTCAAAGAAGTTGGAAGGAGTTACATGAGGAAGTGAATCTGCTTTAACGGTTTGATTCTAAGTATTGCAGTAGGGCTCTTTCTTCTTTAACACCTTGCTTACTGATATGGGTGATAATTATTTATTACACAGTGCACACCCTAAATGCATGATAGGTTGCAAAAAAAGAGCAGGAAACACATGGATAGAATAACAGCTATTAGAAGACCAGACTCTAGGAACAGCCTTTTATCCTTTCATATTTGGTGTCTTTTTGCAATTAGATAGCAGGTATTAGAGTTGTGCTTGGTTTGACATCAGGGCAGGCTATGATTTGGGAAGAACTAAGCAGAAAACAAAAACAAAAAGGCTTTTGCTTGTTGTTTCTAAATATTTAATAAGAATTTACCTCTCTATGGGGGAAGAACTAGCTTTGGAGGAAATACAGCTTGATTTTGCCCCTAATTGTTTAAATCCATCCATAATATTAGAAAGTAATTTTATGCTTCATCTAGTTTATTAGAGTGTTTGTGTTCATGGAATCTGTACTGCTGTTGTCTGTGCTGTGTAATCACTGGAAGGAAATAATTTTGAAGGAATTACTTGATGTAGGGTCCCAATTTTTCTTCCTCTTTTAACTGGAGCCCTTTATTCCCCTTCCCTAGCACCCAAACAAAAGAGCTCAGAAACTGGTCTTGTATTACTTCTGGGATTCTTCTTTGTACATGACTTCTGTATTCATAGCTTTGGTTTGACTCTGCAGTTGGGTAGGGCAGCACCAGACCAGGTTTACTGGCAAGGGCAAGTGACTGTATTCTGCCCATAGAGGTAAATTTTATGAGACTAATGTGGAGTAACTCGTCTGTCCACAACATGGATAGGTCTGGCACAGGCTGCTTGCAGGAGTACTGGGCTTGTGTGCACAGCACTTGGAATGTAGTCCAAAAAAAGAAGAGTGGAAAGTATGGCTAACACTTTCCCTCGTTGTGCAAATAATTACTGTGTTAAGAAAACACAAGGTTGCAGCCAAATAGCGTGCATGGAGAAGGGTCTTTCAGTAGTGGCAGGCATAAATGATGATGAGGGCTATTTCTTCAGTAGGCAGCAGAAAGAAGATTGTTAAATGCAAGAGTTGTTGCCTTATATAGATGGCAGTGCTGTCACAAATGCAAGCATCCCTTTCATGTGCTTGGGGACCAGCATCATATACTGGTGATGGCAGCAGCACATACTGGTGATTGCAGTATTATAAGCTCCAGGCTCCTTTTAACAATGAGAAATTTTCACCAGAATCTTTCTTGTTTTCTCAGCCATTGCTTAGTGTGTGAACACGCTGTAACAGGAAGCCCAGGGCAGGAAAGAAGAAAATGATCATAAAAAAACATTGCAGCCATTTCCTTCATTACCTCTTCCCTGCAATGCTGGTCACCAGGACAACCATTTCATCTTCTGCTCTTTCTGATGCTGTTGCAGAGGTGAAAAAGCTTTCTCTCTTGCAGCTTGAAAATTAACAAAATGTCTTCAGCTTTTTGTGAAGAGAACAGAGGTGATGGCCTATGCAGAGTATTCCTGGATGTAAAAAAAGCAAATCTATCATTGGGGCAATATGACTTGTGGTTTTGAGAGGGTACTGTTCTTCCTAGCACTTCTAAATGCAACTTGTATGAGTGAGTGGTCACTGGTTGTGCAGGGTTTATGTGGCAGGGTTTTTGGTAGCAGGGGAGGGGGCTACAGTGGTGGCCCCTGGGAGAAGCTTCTCGAAGCTCTCCCCAGCTCCAAGTTGGGCCCACCTCTGGCCAAGGCCAAGCCAATTAGTGGTGATGGCTGCACCTCTGTGATAATGTATTTAAGAAGGGGAACCTGAGAGCTGGAGACTTTGGGGAGGAGTTATGAGGACATCTATGTGAACACTGAGGTCCCTGGAAGGAAGGAGGAGGGAAGGGGGCGAGGTGCACCGGAGCAAGGACCCGCTTACGTGTCAGATGGCAGGGCCATCCCCCTCCCTCTGACACCCATGGAGGTCACCGGGGTATCAGATATCTGCCTGGGGCCTGTGGAGGACCCCACACTGAGCAGGCAGCTGCACTAGGCTGGAGCTCTCTGAGAAGAAGCAGCCTCCTCTGTTGTAGTTCGGTACTGGGAGGATTGCAGCATGTGGGGGTGACTCACGCCGGAGCATCTCGAGAACAATGCTCTCATGATGGAGAAGGTTTGTGGAGCACTGTCTGCCGTGAGAGGGATGCCACGTGGAGCAGGGGGAAGCTGGCTGGCGCACCCCACATCCCCTGTCCCCTGGAGGAGGAGGTAGAGATATCGGGAACAAAAGCTAGGCCCTGGAAGAAGGGAGGGGTGGGGGAAGTCTTTTAAGAGATATGGTAATGCTTCTCATTGTCCCATTCTGTCTGTTAATTGTTGGTTTTGTTACTGTTTGAATGAAAGTGATGTTCTGTTTTTCTTCTTCTAACAAGTCTGTCTTTTTTGCCTGTGACCGTTTTAATGGGTGAGAAAACCCTCCCCTGTCCTCATCTAGGTTCCAGAGACTTTAATTTTTTCTCCTTCACAGCACTGGCTGGGACGGAGTGAGTGAGCGGCTGCGTGGTGCTCAGTTGCCATCTGGGCCTAAACCACGACACTGGTTCATTTTTTTATTCGTTATGTCATTGTGAAAACAGTTCTTGCAGTAAAGACAGACAGTTTTTACAAACTGGCTTACTTTCTTGTGGAAAGTGTTCCCAAACCTGTGAAGTCTCATAAGCATTAAACACCTACTCCTTTTATCTTCATACTCATTCCCACTTAAACTTATGCCCATCTAATAGGCTCTTCCTGCTGAGAGATTGGCCTTTTCTGTAAACCTTTAACACTTTAGTCTGCTGTTCTTCCCCATTAAAAGTGGGAATGAAGAGCTAAGTAGTACTGAAGTTCTAGTTCACAAAATATTTTGGTACCTATTTTTTTTTTCTTCTCATCAGAAACAGAAATTATTCAGATTCATCAAAATCTTAAATGAAGTTTTTTCTGTTTTTTGTAACATTTAACAAACTGAAAAATCCACTGCCCATCCTGTTTGTGACTTTCTTCACAGATATTAGGTAACTACCTCCTTTAGCACTTTATTACTGCTTACAAGTAATTTCTATAGGAATACTGATCAGAAATAGCTTGACAGTAACCTCCGTGTTGCCTAACATCTATTCATCTGCAAGGCATTGCACAACTCATGACAATACGGTAAACATCTCCTAACCTACTTCACTGACATCCTCAGTCTTGTTCTTCTACATTTCATTGTGGGATTCCAGGTGGCAAGGTATTCTGGAACACAGACTCTCAAATGTATGAGAATCTTACTATCTTCAAAGGTGAAAGCTGCCTGAGATGCCTTGCCCTGTACTACTTTTCTTGTGCTACCAAAGCCTCTGTTGCTAGGATTCTCCTGAAGATTGCACCAAACCATTAATGAGGCTGTGTTGTATCTTTAATTTTGTAGCAGATTAGAAATCTAAATAAAAGGTTTTCATTTCTTCTATCATATGTGACAGAGTGGTCATGAACATTTTGATCTGGGTCAGCTGTGGCTGGAAAAAATATGTGTGATGTTCACCTGATATTCAGATGGCTATCATTATGATTCAGCCTAATCAGGACTAGTTAGATCACAGTTACTTAGTCTGAGACATCTAATAAAGTGGTTTTGGAAAATGGACATATAGGGAGAGCTGTAATATGCACTTAAAGGCTTTTTGCAAAAAAAAACCTTGGGTTCTTCAGCAGGTTTAAAATTTAGAGAATTTTAAGCACTAACCATGAAGTATGTGCACATGGCATAATACAATGCTGTCCAGAGAAAAAGGAAAGCATTAAACTAGTTGAAAGCAATGCTGTGCATTTTCTGTGAAGCCAGTTGAGCCTTAGGTGTGAAGCAAAGGCATGCGAGAAATAGTGATTCAAAAGCTGAATTTTTGAACACATTAATATAAGCCTCCAAAAAGCATCAAACTCTACATATTTATGTCATATTTCTGCAATACCTGAATTGCACCAGTAAGTAACCAAACTGTCTCTCACACATCGTTTAGTAACATACAAATCGTAGTTGCTAGAATTTTCTGTAATTACCAGAAGCTGTTTCAGTAAATAATGTCATCTATGCCTTACTATGCAGATGTACACAGTAACTTTTGCATCACTGTTATCTCACACAGTCTTGGTAGCCATTAATTTCCAGTTATTTCTTCTAGAATAAAGTAGTCCTTTCAAGTAGAACAAAACTTCAGACTGTTCAGAAAAAAACCCAAACCAAAATTCTGTGGTTTGCTATTCCAAAATACAGAAAAAATACTTTCAAACCAAGCGTGTTTATTAGACATTCTTGCAAGAGTGTTGTGTATATATCTTTTTACTCTGATTTAATCACCTGGTTTCAACCACTGAAATTAAGGCGTGCCAGAGTGTCCTTGGATTGAACTCGTGAATCAATGGGAGTTTTGTCATGCTGGGAAAAGCAATTTCCAAGGAGCTGGTTAAAATACTACATGGAACTCTTCTCTGAGTCACCTCTTGAATATTTCACTGGTGCAAACAAAATTTCCAGCTTGACTAGGACATCCCAATATCCAGCAGATATTTTTTTGCTATTTTTCCATTTTACATGGAGGAAATAGGATATTCCTGCTCTCATCTTAAGCCATGCCTAGGAATGCACGCTTTTGCAGCATGGCAGCAGGAGACAGGGACTCTGGCACAGCATTGTGGTGAGATACAGGGCATATATTTTACTACAAGATGAACAGAGTAGGTTCTGCATTGCATTAAGTATTGGTTAGGATGGTAAATCCACAAAGTTTATATTCAATCAGGTAATCTGACATGGGTCCTACACAGATGTCATAACCCACGCTCTGTTTTCTTTATTCTGTTTTCTATGGCTGTACATGTATACTAGAAAAATATTTTAACACTTTTCATTAACAATAGCTGTAGATAAAGTAGCATAAGCAGGAAACACAAGTTCCCTCTCAGCTGCCTGAAATATCACCTGAGGTTTCTCACTGCAGACATGAAACATCAAACTGCTCTTACCTTAGCTGACAGTGCTAGCAGACAGCTCATCACTAAAATTTGATAACACTTTTCTAAGAAACATGTTTACTGGCTCTACTGGATTTTAGTGCAGGTGACTAAATTCTACTTGTTCAAGATCCCTCTCTCTAGTATGAACTAGGTACGATTAATAACAAAATAAAAACATGTCTAGTATCAAAGACAGCTTAAGTTTTAGCTGGATCATAGCAACCCATCATGGTGACTGATAAAAATTATTAACTTTACAACTATTTATCAGAATGTAATAGAACTAATCAGACCTCTCTGAAATTATCTAACCGCATAGTTCTTAAACAAATACTTCCTTGATTTACTATTTCTCAAGATCTTGTCTGTTGCTGAGAAGACTGCAAACATTATGCCCAAACCTACAGACTCTGAAAAAGAAGACATCGAATGCCATCTTGTGGATTCCACAGGAGCGTCAACATTTATTCTGAAAAGATGAATTCATTGGTGAGGGAGAGAACACAAATATGTATCTACTTAAATATGAATTATAACCTGATGCATAATTCTGTATTATCGGGAAGAAAATATAATGGATATTTTTGTTTCTTGCCCTGCAGCTGAAATAAACTAACAATTCTAATGGCCGTGGGGTCAGTAGTTAACTGTCAGTCAAGCAACTACATAACAACCATGGGATTTGGATTTAATATCCAAGACATTTCCATTATAAAGCATCACTGAAAACACCATTGTAACATTATTCTCCGTATGCTCAGGGACAGCAGAAGAGAATATAAACTGTAGCAGCATACTTAGGACAATCTTTTCTTCCACTTTTCCTTACATACATACTACCACCACTCTGTTGCTCAGCTACGTATGTGGTGGTTCTGTAAGTCAGTCAAAGCTACTTAAACCGAAGTAATGAATTTACAGTTTAGCATGAAAAGGATGGTGGGGAATCGGGATAAAAGGAAAAAGAAGGTAAGTTTGTGGCAGAACCACTTTTAAAAATAATTTTGGCCGCCTTATATAAAATAGCTTGTGGCCACAGCTCCCATGAACTGGTAGTACTCATTGTTTTATAGTATGACAAATAAGTCTGTTTCTCAGAACAGTTCTCATTTTTAAAAGTTACTTAGTTGGAATGCAGTCATACATAAGCACAAATCACCGGTGCTTACACTGCTTTTCCCCATTAAAAAAAAATAGCTAATGGAAGCAGAGGTAAGTCCTGAAATACTTTTGTAGCTTATATCAAACTGGTAATACCAGGAATTGTGTTCTAGAAGGGGGAAGATTGGAAATTTACTTCAATGACTTTGGTAGTGTTTCTAGATGTAAATACACAAAAAAACTTATGTGCAGCACAGCAGTGCTGCAACGTGAAAAGCAACTGGAAACAAGGAAGTGAAGGGAAATGCTGAGTTAACTTTAAGGATATAGAGTGCACACAGGACGAGCACTTCCGTCTCGCTGCTTTTCTTTTTTTTTTTCCCCCAAAGGAAATCCCTGCACTGCAAGGGATAATGTCAGATGTAAACATGATGGCAAATTAGAGTATTATTTGATATTATTTGATATATTAATAATTATTATTAAAATGTCGATTGATTATTATATTAGTTATATCAATTATTTTATATTAACTATTATTGATAATAATTATTATAGATCACATATATTAATGACATTATTATTGTCAGATGTGAACATGATGGCAAATGAGAGTATTATTTTATATATTAATTATATTTATTAAATAAGCAACTGCAGTTCGATCTGAGAGTTTTCCCAAACGTCTGCTGTGCCCTGAGGCATTTGACCTTTCTGAAAATGTAAAACCTTAGTTGCCTAGGAAAAAACGATCATTATTCCTACACATGGGCACAGTGCAAGAAACAACTTTTCAGGTTAAGAGGGCTAAGAAGTGGTAACTGTCAGTCACGCCGAGGAGCCGAACAGCCACAGCTGCTGCTGCTCAGTTCTCCCCGCACGAAGGCTCGGACTGGCCGGATCCAGCCGCTTGGCGAGAGCGGAGTGTGACGAAGGAGGCGGTGGCAGGATGGCAGCCGGCCCGGAGCCCCACTGCCTGCGCCCTCCGGAGACAGCCCTTGGCTGAGCTCCCAGAACGAACGACACCGGGCAGCCCCTCCTCCCCCCGCGGGCTACCCTGCAGCAGGGCGCCCGGTCCCCGGGAGCGGG